TGATATATGTGACCCATGATCATAGCTGAACAATTCATGATAGCTAAAACTTGGAATCAACATAATTGCTCATCAACGGAAGACTGGATAAAGAAAATGTGTGTTTAAAAAAAAAATAAAATGGAGTGCTACTCAGCCATAAAGAATGGGAAATTCAAGACATTTACAGCTAAATGGATGCACATTGAGGTGATACTCTTAAGTGAAATAGGACACACATGTGTAGAGACCAAAAAGTTTCTCTAGTGTGAGAAACTGCAAGAGTAAATAAGGACTAAAAGGTATAATAGATAATGTGAAATAGGAAGAAAAAGTGCAAAGGGTAAGGGGAAGTGGAAGGGGTAAGGGAAAAGAAAGATGGGAATGGAATTAATATGACAAAAAGAAAATATTGAAACAAAGTCTTTGTAGACAGGGAGGAGATGAGAGGTTGAAGGGAAGGCAGAGGAATGGAGAAAAAAATAAGAACCAAGATGGATTATGTAAAAAATAAGAACCAAGATGGATTAATGTCATTATATTGTCTACCTTAAATGTAGCAATAAAATTAATTTTTAAAAATCTATATATTATAACAAACACTAAACTTGCTGGACGACAGGTTAGGTAGAACTCTTGAAGACAGTGGAGTAGGATTTTATAAACAAAAACTCAGTAGCACTGGAACTAGCAGAAAGAATCAACAGCTGGGATCTCATCTTATTAAAAAGTTTCTGCACTACAAGAGAAACCACCAACAGTGTGAAAAGACAACCCACAATGCAGGAAAAAATTTTTACCAGCTATTTCTCAGACAAAGGTCTACTCTCTAGAATATATAAAGAGCTTTAAAAAAATCAGACCTCCCAAATTTAAAGACCCAATCCAAAAATGGGCATCTGAAATGAACAGATATTTCTCAGACAAAGAAGTAGAAATAGCAAATAAATATATGAAAAAATGTGCAACATCACTGGTCATTTAAGAGATGCAAATGAAAACAACACTAAGCTTCTACATCACCACAGAAAGAATCGCTGCTATCAAGAAATCAACCAACAAGAAATGCTGGCGGGGCTGTGGGGAAAAGGAACGCTGCTCCACTGTTGGCAGAAGTGTAGACTGGTGCAGCCACTGTAAAAATCAGTACGGATACACCTCAAAGAACAAGGATTAAAGTTCCCATTTGACCCAGCTAATCCCCTCCAGCTATTCCCAAAAGAATTAAAAGAATCATACCACAGCAATATATGTGCACCTATGTTCATAGCAGCACAAGTCTGTAACAGCCAATACTTGGAAACAGCTCAATTGCCAATCAACTGGAGACCACATAAAAATGTGGGGTTTTAAATAAAATGGAGTACTACCTCAGCCATAAAGAATGAGAAACTAGAGACCTTCCTAGCTAAAAGGATGCACATTGAGACCATACTCCTATATGAAATAAATAGAACACACATGTGTAAATAAGAAACTGAAAGTGTAAATAAGGATCAAAAGGTATAATAGATAATGTGAAATAGGAAGAAAAGGTCCAAAGGGGAAGGGGAAGTAGGAACGTTTGGGGAAAGCAAAAAAGGAAAAGAAAAAAATATAAGAAAAGAAAAAAATGGAAACAAAGTCTTTATAAATAGGGAGGAATGCAGGGGTTGAAGGGAGGGCAGGGGAATGGGGAAAAATAATAAGAACTAAGATATATTATATAATTGTGACTAGTAATTACAAAGCCTGTGGTTCGAGTTTATGTTTGTTCTTATTGTGACTATTTCTCCTCTCTCATTCTCTCTTTCTCTCTCTCCCTCTTTCTCCCTCCCTGCCTCCTTCTAAAATTATTTAATAGAAATTATCTGAGGTCTAGAAAGAAAGACTTGTACTTCCTTCTACCAGGTTCCAAGCAATATCACTAATCTGGTATTATTTTCATCTCAATGTACCTTTTGAAATAACAGAGGTGATGTGATTTTGGGCTGCAAATCAATTTCAGGGGTGAATTATGTTATAATTTCTACACTGTGTCAAGTCCCTGAGGATAGATGAGAATGTTCATGACTACATGAGGGAATAGGCCATTGTGGTATACCTCAGACTCCAGCAGCCCTTGTGCTTTTACTTTTGACCCTTTGCCCCATAAAGCTTGCAAAACATAAGCCACATTTTCCAGTGGGGCAAATGCTCTTGGGATGTTCAGTTAGAAGCACAACTTTCTAAATCCCTGCTTTTTCTGTGATGCAATAATTCTTTGATTTCTTCTTAACTTGTTGATGCCATTAAGAAACTCTCCTCCTCTTGCAACAATTTCAGAAGTTCTGTTGAGAGAGCTGATACAACTCTGCTAGAATCAACCTATTTTTTCTAAACTGAAGTGGCTAACGATTTTAAAAGTGTAACAGAAGCAACAAAGCTTACAATCTTATTTCTGAGCAAAGAGAATGTGAAAAGCCAGAAGTGACCTGAGAAGCAAAGTAAGTGCTGCCCCTTTTCCTCATTTCTTCTCCCACAAGACAGTTTTCTGCGCCGCAAATTTAACATATTAGCCTCAACTCAGTTCTCCAACTCAGTTAACTATGTCAAATGAACTGTAGAAAGTATCAGTCTTTGAGGTCCACCCCTAAGTGAAGAAAGACCTCAAGATTCACTTCTCAACATTCCTCAGAAGTGCAGTCCAAGACCCACCCATCGCGCCCTTGTCACGACTAGGCTGTCTTCAAATCCCTCACTGGTCACTTGGCTTAAGCTTTAATGACTTTGTTACTCCAGGCAGTTTTCCAAACAAAAAGGAATGGCTATTTACAAGTACTACACTGCAGTCATAAATATCATCAACTGAATTACACTGACATTTCAGTATAACTTGACAGAAGTCTTCATAAAGTGAGTGTGTTTTGGCCAGGTAAAAGGATTTGAGTTATAAAAGTAGCAAAAGGTCTTATTGTGGGAAGGTTTAAATTCTTAGGTGGTCCTACAGTGTATACTCTGAGGACAGCTTTATAGGGAGGTTCCTGACACAGACCATTTAGACCAGGAGCCAGACTACCACATTTTTCTCTCTCAAATTATAGTGGGATCTGTGGTATTCCAGTAAATTGCCCCTTTGTGAATGAAATAACCTTATGTAGATTTTCATACTGAATACCTTTCTTATACAGAATTTACTTTTTCCTTAAAAATTCTGTGAATAGTTCAATCTAAAACAATATTCTTGAGATTACATGCACATCATGGTATTTTAAGGGAACTATCTTTTAATTCAAAGTCTAAGTTCTTTTTACATTTTGCAAAAACAACCAATATACCAAATTAAGAAAAAAGGTCAGAGATTCTTCCCTGGTACATCAAACTTCTCAATATTCCATCTACCATGTACCTGCCTGACAAAATAGTTTACGAATTCTGGGACACCCTGAGAGGGATGTGCTTTACAAGAGAACAGTCTCAACACATCTCTGCCTGTCCCTACAGAGGACTGTAGTATCTGACTCTGACAGCAGCTGGGCCCTGTGCTAGAGCTTGCCATTCCTAGGCTCAAGCCCCTAGACAGTTCAACCTGAGGTGCATGCTCTTGTTAAGCAGCCATGTGGATAGTGTGGGCCTGGACCAGAAGTTGTGGCATCACTGCGTATCAAAGATGCACCAGATCCTCTGGACCAACACGGAGCCGACTCAGCCAGAACTCCAAGACAAGTCCAGTGACCTGTGTTTAACAAGTTCCTTGGATGATTCTGATGTCAGATTGTAGTATTAACACAATGAAGTGCTTACAGCATAACAGAGAATGAATGAAAAAAACCCTATATTTTTCAAAGATTAAAGTATAGAAATACAATTTTGACTTAAAAAAATCACCAAAGTCTATGGTATATTTCATAAAGTTAAAAAATGAGCAAAACCAAATAGTATATTATTTTGAATGCATATATATGATAAAGTAATAAAACCATTGTTTTAAATAAGAAAATGATATACTTTTAATTCTTTAAAGAGCTTACCCGAGATGGCTGGGGATTTAACTCACTGGTTCCACTGCCTGACTAGCAAGTACAAGGACCTGAGTTTGATCCCCATACCACCCCCCAAAAAGAGTTTATCTGAGAGGAGGAGGTAGATGGGTGAAAAAAAGTCACACAGAAACTAGCACTATACTGGCAAAAACTTAACTCTCAAATTGGGCAGGGAGTTCAAGGCTGTTCACTGTATTTGTGCTATTTTTTATTATTATATAACCTTTGCATATATCAAATACCGCATAATTTTAAACAAATACTGCTAATAAACAAAAGATGGCCAGTACCTTTAACAGAAGAAAAAAACCCTAAATATTGTAAATTATTTAAGTTTTGATTTAGCTACAAAGAATTTTAAAGATATTACAAAAATGTTTATGACAAAATTAGCCATATAATGTAAAAAATGTATAATAAAAGGATTATAAAAAAGTACAATTAAATGTTAATATGATATTATTACAGGTAATTTTATCTCTTTTTTATATATTTAATATATTCTATTGTGAACAATAAATATTTTTAAAATTACTGAGGATTTTAAACTGTTGTTGACACACTTAATGACTAAGTAATTAAAGAAAATTGATAAATTTTCTTTTGGAAATAACTCAGTTTTATATTTTCCACCATAAAATCATATATCTTTATAATTGTGATTCTTGATTAAATAATTTCACTTGTGTGAGTGAAAACATGACAAATGAGAAAACCATGACTTAAAGAGGACTTCAGTTAAAACAATCAAAAAGCTTTGATTAAAAAACTAAAAAGAATACAAATAAAAAAACAACCATCAATTGTTGACCACACAGAAGGAGAGCCTATATGGAAAATATGCCTTTTTACCAGTGAGAAAGGAGCATATTAATGTGTGTTATGTATAATCAACAACTCCCCATGATGAATGCAATCACTATGTACTGCAAACATGTGCTAATTAAAATAAACATTTTTAAAAAAGAGAAGAAAAAAACTACAAAAATTTAGGTCTAAAGGCCAGAGGACATTACATACCTCTTTTTCCAATATTCTAGCAATCTCACCCAGGGTCCGGTCCAAAGCTGAAACCTTGTTGTTTAACCATGAGCCACTGTCTTGTACTTGCAGTTGTTTCAGAAGATCTTTGGCTAATCGTTGAAGCCTTGAATACAAAATGAATGGGAAAATTGACATTAATGAAACAGACCACACATACTTCATTTTTCAGCTAAATAGACTTCTTTTTCCTAAACATTTGAAACACAAGGTGTTTTCAATATTGAATTTGAAACTGCTTCATGGAGCACCTGGTGGGAGGAACAGCAGACAATACACAAGTTGACTCACTTTTTAATTAAAGACCACCAGTCTATTCTTCATGGCACAATACAAATCTAGAAGACAGTGTTATCCACTAACAGGACTAGCTCAAGCACTGATACTGTTTCTGTATGAGCCTTAAATTAGACAGGAAATGGGGATGGGGAGAAAGGGAGAGGATGATGACAGAACACAGGTGAAAAAGGACCCCCCACACACTGGTGGTGGAATGTAAACTAGTACAACCATTACGGAAATCAGTATGGAGATTTCTCAAAGAACTAAAACTTGAAATTCCATATGACCCAGCTATTCCCATTCTGGGTGTCTTCCTCAAAAAGTTTAAAATACTGTATTACAGGGCAATATGCATACCACTGTTTATATGCAGCACCATTCATAATAGCTAAATCCTGGAAGTGGCCTGTATACCCATCAATAATGATTGGATAAAGAAAAATGTGGCATCTATACATAATAGAATATGACTGGGCTGTAGGGAAGGAACAATTTGAGATGTATAGGAAATAGATACACCTGGAAAATAAACTGTTCAATGAAATAAACCAGACATGCAACCTTGAATACAATATGGTATCTCTCATTTGAATAAGGCAAAGTACAAGCAAAGAGAATAATTAAGGATGGATAGAAGGGGTCAGGGGATAGAACACTTGCAAATAGGAAGGGGGTTCAAAAGATAAAGAATGAAAGGTGAAGGGGAGAGGAAAGGGAAATAAATAGAATAAAAATAAGTCATGTACCAGATCTTAATAACTTTAATAGGTATAAACATTATATGCCATAAACATGAGCTAAGATTAATAATATCAACAAGCATGAAAATGGAGAAGGGAATTAAATGAGGAAGGAGGGAGGGGGAAGGGAAGGGCGTTAAAAATAAAGAAACAAGGGCCTGGGATTTGGCTCAGTGGTTCCACTGCCTACCTCACAAGCGCAAGAGCCTGAGTTCGATCCCCGGTACAGAGAAGGGAAGGAAAGGAAGGGAAGGGGAGGGGCGGGGAGTGGAGGGAAGGGAGAAAGAAAGATGGATGTATCATGCACATGTACCCACTCCCCAAGGTGATTATATACTGCATGTACTGCAAACATATACTAATAAAAAATTAATCAATAAAAATAATCTGAGCAGGTTTTATATTCTGATTTAAATAATCAAGCCAGGCTTTGATATTAGAAGGACTATAAACTCTCAGAAAGTAGAACTCCCTTGTTCCAATGTATAGCCAATTTGCTATTGTTTACTTAGATATAGAGCACTTGCTTTTCACTGAGAAACAGTACTTGTTACCTAGATTTTAAGATTCCTTAGTGAGGTGACTGTGATAATATTTCTCTGTATTCTTTACTTTGATTTCTACACCTTATTAATTTTGTTTCTACTTATTTGCTTAAATATCCACTGAGTCACCAGAGTGACCCCATATACTCACCAGAGGACTTCACTTCCCTATTGTCTTATTTCAATTGTTAAATGTGGATGATTCCACCAAATTTCTTTATAACCACTTTCTTGCAAATGATCTACATTCTCTCTCTACTTCCACTTGTTACTCCTATTGGATAAACCCCAGCAGCAGTACTAATGTTTATTTAGCTCTTACTACTGCCAGATACCAGCCTAGCTCTATTGCATAAACAGATTTATTTAGCTAAATGAATAAAAACATCTGTAAACCTTTACTTCTCCGTACCTCAACAAGTTGTTCATGCAGAAGACCACGAAGAGCACTGTTCAAGTCTCATCCCATCTCTGGTCTGCTCAGCCTCTCAGTCCTCAGAGACAGAATTTGAATATCCCCACTCTCTACAAAACTCCACTCTCTTCAAAACTCCACCCTTTTCCCCTCTTGCTGTTCTCAGATCTTACATTTCATAGAGAAAATGAGTGTCACGGAAACAAGCCTCATTTTCTGCCACATAAATCCGCATTTCGCCCCTTCTCTCCTTTGTGTCTCCTATCATGATCCAGGAAGGTCCTTTCTCCTAAGTAGGGCTAATCCTGCTACACAGACTCTGCAAGAAACAAGCCTCATTTTCTGCCACATAAATCCGCATTTCGCCCCTTCTCTCCTTTGTGTTTCCTATCATGATCCAGGAAGGTCCTTTCTCCTAAGTAGGGCTAATCCTGCTACACAGACTCTGCAATGCAGGAGATCTCTCTGGATCTCTGGATTCCTCTTCTTCTCCTTGCTGTTGTGTCTTTGCAAATCCTTTGAAATGTTTTTTCCACCCTGTATTACCTATGAAATTTCTATCTACCATTCCGTTCTTAGAACAAATATTACTTTCTATTTTATTAGTCCTTCAAAGCACACATCATGAGTGAATTAAATGTTTGTCTAACTAGCTGTTCAATGTGTGCTCCTTCCATGTAGTTTCTAAATAACAATGTTCTTTACTTGCACTGTCTTACATGGTAACTGCTAGCCCTGAATGCTATCAAGCACCTGAAATATGATTAGTGAGACTGAGGAACTGAATTTTAAATTGTACTTAATTTTACTAATTGAAATAGTAGAAAGTGATTGGAAACTATTACGTTAGACAGTGGGGAAGCAGGGTATAAACTTCTAAGAGAGGCTTTTTTCTCCCTGATCACTGCTTCAGCCTTACCACTTGACATGCGACCTATACAGAAATACACTCAGTAGATATTAATGAGTGAATGGGCTAGACATTTCGTTTTCAATCTTAACAAGATATTTTCATGTATATATCTCAGTAACAATCTCAACTAGTATTATCTCTATTTGAAAAATGAAACCACAGCCCAAGGGAAATGAGGCCCCTTTTCCAAAGTCACAGAGTTGGCAGAAGCTACTACTGGGGTTCAACATTTCAGCTTTTCATCTTCAAATCTCATGCTTGACCATACTGTATTAGTCAAATTATTTTGTTTCATTTACAAATGCATAATTTTCTACTAAAAGAATAAAACAAATACAGCTCAGAAAGGCACTAATGAACTCAAGTTCAAGCTTATGCTTTCCATATAAAGTCCAGTGTGGTAAGTCAAAGGACAAACTCTACAGTCCGAAGTACTTATGTTTAAATTTTGCTCTAGTACTTAATCATGTGTATGAATCCCTGGGAAGTTTTTAATTTCTCTGAGTCTCAGTTTCTTCATCTTAAAAGGGGTGAGGGTGGGGGTCATAGGACAGACAGACAGACAGATGGGTATCTCCTTTCAGAGATCATGAAAGTTGGAGGTAATATCTAATATTATGCACTAAAATAGATTTTCAATAAATAGCTATAACTATTATTATTATTACTCATTAGCACAAGGTCTCAATGTAAGAAAAAGGAAAAAAGGAATAAAAAAATGAAAATAATAGCAATATACTTCTTTTTCCTTCTTTTTAGTATATGTGCTGCTGAAGCAAGCACACTTCTTTTTCCTTCTAATCAAATATGGGCTGGGTTTCCATCTAATTAAAACTATTGACTTTACCATGTAGAAAAATATTGGCAGAGAATATGTGATAGGTAAGTAGCCACTTCAGCTTTCAGCTGAATAAAGTCTGCACACTATGTAACTAAATAACCAGCCATAGCAACAGAATCTAGCTTTATTCTTACCAAGAATGCTCACATTCCACTGAAAACCAGTAGTATTTAGGCAAGCACAAGGACCATTTTAATTCATGGAATAAAAGAGGCTTATATTTCACCCTGGGGTAAATCAAATCTGGGGTTTATACGAACCCACCTTCAAGGAAGAATGCCAAATCAAGGAGATGCTTTGGTAACATGAGATAAACCTCTGTCTCATTCCCTGCCTACACACAATATACCACAAATAATATAGGCCTTCTCAAGGACAAGAAACATCAGATTTGGATGCATATTACTATAAATAAACAAAGAGTGCTACAGAAGTTGAATTGAAAGCTCTATCTGCTGTACAGTGTATCATCAAGAGGTGATCAGAGAGTGTAGTTTTTAATATAGAAATTATTATTTGGTTACTTCTGGCAGATAATTTTTCTAGCATGAAGAAAAAATGGAGGCTTTATGACTCCTTGACTACAACATGAAAAGAATTTGTGGAGAATGTTGTAAGATCAGGCATTTTCTTCTCAGAACTTCAACAAATTTCAACAACTCTAAGCTCAAATCTGTCACTTGTAAATGTGAAATGTGAAAGGATGTCTCTAAGGAGCCTGAACTTTTATCACAGCAAAGTTTAGAAGCAAACGGTCCAATATGATCACAAGGAAGATTTGTAAAAGTATACGAAAGGAGACTGGGTCTACTCCAGGACTTGACATTATGTAATAGCCAGAAGGACATAAATACATTAACTCTTTCCTTTCCTTTGTTTGGCAGGTACATAATATAAATTTAGGACTATTGGTTCCCTTTTTTAAAAAAAAATAGTATGCTTAGACCTATATTTCTAAATGCAAGTTTAAGAAACAAATAATACCTTTTTATGTTCCCTGTATAAGATAGAAAAAAATCAGTGTATATACATGTACACTTTCTACAGCAGACCTATTTTAGTTTTGCTGCCAGCATCCCTGTGGAAAGCAGAACATCCAGCCCTACTCTTAAGACACACATGCTAGCTGTGCCCAGTGGTGTCAGATGTCCTGCTCTTAGGCTCTCTCAGGTAGAAAGGTCTAGGGCATGCATACAAATGATTTTACACTTACAAACACATCTACATCTATGTCTATATATTAGAAAATACATGTTAACACTGATAACTCAAAGTCCAATTCACTATTATAGAATTTTTCTTATTCTCCTGGTTGTATTTTTTTTTTTTTTTTTTTTTTTTTTTTTTTT